GTAGGGCCAGAGGCTTCCCCAGGGCCAAAGACTCCTTCTCTGCCCCCCAAGACCAAGATGGGAACCTGCCCCAAGACCAGAGTCACGACCCAGTTGAGAACTCTCCAGATGCCCCTATGAGACACAAGAGGACCTGCCAGTGTTGACCAGGAGGGAAATGTCTGCGGAGGACAATGCATTTTTGTGTATCAGCCTTTCATCATCACTGATCTCTCGAACTGGAAAAATCATACTCGCTCCTACACAGAGAAGCCCCAGGCCATGATTGATCTGTGCAATCCATTCTCCAAACCCATCAGCCTACCTGGGTTGACCGCTGCCAGCTCCTTCTGATTATTCAATATGGAGGAGCATAGATGGGTGATCCAAGCAGTTCCATGTGAGGCCTTCAAGCTCTTCACTCCCTTGGATCCCGAGGCACCAGACATCAACAGATAATCAAGGCTGCCTTTGTGGGACAGGTTCAGGGTGACATTTGCTAAAAACTACAAAAACTAGAGGGTTTTTCTGGGAAGAATGCCAGTGAGCTGGTTGAAGTGTTTGTCAACCAAGACCAAGAGGCCCAGCAAGAAGCAGACCAAAAGATGAAGAAGAGGATGGGTCTCTCCTTGCACCTGCCCTTACTGCAAACCCAAGAGCCACCCAAGCGGGGTGGGGGGAGGTCCCACCAGGACAAAGCCAAAACAAATATCAAAATTGGGGCCAGATGCAGGGTGGGAGGAAGGTCTGGATGGAGGGACCACCTCACCAGGGGAATAGGCTGAGACTAAACCAATGTGCCTGCTGCCATCTAGAGAGCCACTGGGAAAATGAATGCCCCCAAATGAAGGGAGACAACTGGTTGCTACTACTCCTTACCAGGATGAGAGGCAAAGCCATTCAAGGGTAATACCAGGCCTAAATCCATCCCCCATGATGCTCAATACCGCAGACACCCCATGATACACCCGAGGAAAGATTTTGTGGGACTGGCAGCCATGGGAAATTATGATGAGGGCTAGGACTGACTGGGCTCCATCCCTATGGGGTCTGAATGCTTATAGGGGGCCAACCTATGGAGAGTGAGGCCCTCCATTCTGCGGTGACCCAACCTGTGGGCCTACTTTCAAAGAAACAGACCACAGTTGTGGGAGCCCTGGGCAACAAAGCTTGTCATCCTTTCCTGTTGTCTCAGTGTTGCAATTTAGCAGGTCACGAAGTGGTCCATGAGTTCCTGTACCTGGTGCCACTGATGGGTTGAGACCTGCTAGGAAAGCTCTGAGCCCAGATAATTTTTGATGCAAAAGGCCAGGCAGCCTTACCACTGGGAAAACCTGAACAAGAATTTTAACCCTCACAATTCCCTAGGAAGAAGAGTAGTGCCTCCTCCACCTTGTACAGACACCATAACATGGACCAGAGCTCCCTTGCCAAGTACTGGGAGTATGGGCAGAGGACAATCCACCTGGACTAGCCCAGAGCATTCCCCCAGTGGTGGTGAATTTAAAACCAGGAGCCATACTGGTACACCTGAGATACTACCATATTCCTCATAAGGCACAAGTTGGAATTCTCAGGCCTTGCCAATCACTAGCCAATCAACCTTTTGTGCCTGTCCAGAAACCAGGAACTGGTGATGACTGGCCAGTCCAAGATTTATACGCAGTAAATCAAGCCACAGTCACCTTATATCCTGTGGTCCCCAATCCACAAACTCTCCTAAGTCTTCCCCAGCTGAAGCAACCTATTTCACATGCCTGGACCTTAAAGATGCCGTCTCTGCATTCAACTGGCACCACAGAGTCACCACCCTTTGCCTTCCAATGGGAAGACGCCAATGAGAACAGAGGCCAGTGGACCTGGACTAGGCTATGAAAAGTTTTCAAAAACTCACCAACCATCTTTGGGATAGCGCTGGCCTCTGACTTTCCTGAGAAGCAATGTGGGTATACATGGCTGCCATGCATAGATGATTGGTTGCTACTCAGAACAACCAGAGAGGACTACATGTAAGGGTCACAGCTGCTTCTCACTCTCCTGTATAAGCCTGGATACAAAGTTTCAAAGAAGGAAGCCCAGATCTGTGAAGAAAAAGTCAAATACCTTGGTTTCTATCTGACTCAGGGTCAATGGCAACTGGACTCCAAGAGGAAATAGGCGATCTGCTCAATTCTGGTCCCTTCAACCTGCTGTCAAATCAGAGAGTTCTCAGTACTGCTGGATTCTGCCACATATGGATCCCCAACTTTTTATTTATGGCAAAACCCATCTCTGAAGCCACAAAGAGGGGAGAATGAGAGCCTCTGATGTGGGGGCCAGTGCAACAAAAGGCCTTTGAGGATATTAAACAAGCCCTCACCAGTGCACCTGGACAAGGCTTCCCTGACCTCCCAAAGCCCTTCTCTCTGTATGTCCATGAGCAGTCTGGAATAGCAGTAAGGAGTCCTGACTCAAATGCCAGGGTCGTGGCATGGTCCAGTGGAATATCTTTCTAAATAGCTGGACTCTGTAGCCCAAGGTTGGCCATCTTGTTTATGGGCCTTTGCAGCCAGAGCCCTTCTGACGTTGGAAGCTGATAAACTGGCTATGGGACAAGAATTGATTGTCAGAGTTCCTCATTCAATTTTGGCATTGTTAGAGTATAAAGGATAATATTGGCTGACTAATGAGAGGATGGTCAAATACCAGGGCATGCTATGTGAAAATCTGTATATCCGTGGTGAAGTCGTCCCATCTCTAGACCTAGCAACTCTGCTGCCTGTGGAACGGAACAACCTGATCACAACTGTATTGAGGTCAGTGCAATAGGCCTCCAGCAGACCAGACCTGGCAGATCACACCCTCAAGATGTGATCTGATGCAGAGTACTTCACGAATGAAAGCAGTTTCATAAAGGACGGGATCTGTCTGGCTAGATATGCAGGGGTCACTCTGGACTCCATTGTCGAGGCAGAACATATTGCTCTGACCTGAGCACTCCAATTGGCAGCAGGAATCTCTGTAAACATCTACACAGACTGAAAGTATGCTTTCACCACCCTTAATGTCCATTGGGGCCTTATATAAAGAGAAGGGGCTAATTAACTCAGGAGGGAAAGGCCCAAAATATAGACAGGAAATTTCTAATCTTCCAGGTACAGTAAGGGCACTCAGAAATGTGCCGTTATAAGTGCCAGACCACCAAAGGGGAAACACCATGGTTGCTCAGGGCAACCGAAGAGCAGACAGAAAGGCCAGCTTAGCTGCCTGCAGGAAACAGGAAGGAAATCTAGTCTCAGGCTTAAATGCCATTTCTTCTGTCTGACCCTCGAAGAAAATGGAAACCCAAATACTCCCAACATGGAAGTAATTGGTTTAAGACTGAAAAAGGAAGATATCTCCCAGGCAGATGGTAGAGATTTTCGCAAGCATCTCCTGGGTGATCTGTGAACAATGTGAGATTTGTGCCCACGACAACCCCTTGCCAGGGCCCAAGGCTTCCACCAGAAATCCAAACTAAAGGAGGATCACTTTTTGAGGACCTGGAAGGAGACTTCACAGAACTGGTTTTTGTGTGCTTACTCTGGCTGGGTTGAAGCCTCTCCAACCTGCACAGAGAAGGCTAGAGAGGTGGCCAGGATGTTCCTCTGGGAAATTTTTTTTCCCAGATTTGGCATCCCAATAACCATTGGCTCAGACAATGGGCCGGATTTCATGGCAGAGGTGATACAATTATTGGCCAAGAGTTTAAATATCAGATGGCAATTGGGTCGTGGCTCAGCAGTCGTGCACTTACTTGGTATGTGTGAGGCACGGAGTTCAATTCTCAGCACCGCACAGAAATATATAAAATAAAAGCCTACCAATTAATTAAAACATAGATCAGATGGAAGCCACATACTGGGCCGTAGGTCACAGAATTCTGGTAAAGTTGAAAAGATAAATTGGACTTTAAAGGCTCAACTGGGTAAACTGTGTCAGAAAACTCACCTGCATTGGGATGAACTCCTCCCTATTGCACGGTTAAGAATTAGATCCACTCCCACTAGGAGGACTGGATTCTCTCCTTATGAGATAATGTGTGGGAGACCCCCCCCTCTTCTCAGGGATTTACAGGGAGACTTAAGAGACATAGGAGAATTAACA